AGGATGTATTGAACGTTATAAGGTCGGAGACCAAGTTCTACTCAATGCTAAAAACTACCTACAAATGTAGTCTCTGCTGTATTCAAGACAAAGTTGCGTCCGCGCTTCATTGGGCCGTTCACGGTCATCGCTAAGAAGGGATTAAGGTACACGCTCAACCTTCCGCGCAAACTGCGCACGCACCCAGTGTTCTACGTTGGCTTGCTTAAGCCGTATCGGGACCCGTCCCATGTGAACTCGGAGGCGCTTGCGCCTGGAAATAAGGCCTTGACGTCGACTGTTGCATCCGAACCAAGAGGTCAAGCTGACCATCCACACGGGCTAAGGCCAACTCCAACGCCTGAACACGGGCTTGCATCGAGCCGAGTTCACTCTGGGTCTTACCCAATGTCTCTCGGAGACCACTCAGCTCACGGAGCACCTTCTCATGCTCCTCCTTCGGTACCCCGACCGCCACCGACGCTGCTCGATGAGCAACGGAACCACCAGTTCTATGTGGAGAAAATTCTTCAGCGACGTCGTCGCTGTGGCCAATACCAGTCCTGGTGAAGTGGCGAGGGTACTCTGAGTCGGAGAACTCGTGGGAATATGAGATACCCCTTCGGCAGGACTGCCCTTACGCCGTGGATGTTTTTGAACATCGTGGCCAGGGTCGCCTTGCGAACGAGAACGCTTCTCACCAATAGTGGTGGGAGGTGGCGTGTTGCTCCGCACCTTAGGGTTGTGACCCGTGGCTACCATTGTAGCCGGAGCATAACGCGTACGTGTACGCAACTGGCCTCTGGCCTTGAGCTTGGCATACTCGAACCGGAGCTTCCGTTCCAGACGAACGTCAGCCACATCGGCGCTGGCCCGCAACGTTGGCACACTGCTAAGATGCCGCTTGCGGTACACCCAACGTATGAACTCATTGTCCTCCTCCTCGGGCAGTTCGCCAGTGAACAACAAGATGGGCACGCCCTTTATCGGTCGAACCAAAACACCACGAGAAAGATTCTCAAGGTGTGCAAGGTACTGACCTTGCGTGGTATAGGCTGGTTCGAGATACCTCTCATTTAGACCCTTACGAAAGGCGATATCTTCTGGCGACGTAGCCTCGGGGCCAATGGCCCATGTTGAAAGGCTACGGCCTTCCGTTTGACGGAGGAGTTGCTCCACGTCTGGTGTTTATAACACGTAACCACTCCGGTTTCGAATAACCGCCTGGTTATGAGTGCGACGTAGAGCACGCTCCTCACGCTGACGGATCAGCTGCTGTTGCTCGTCGAGCGGGTTCGTGATGATGTTCTCATCTGCATCTGTTGTATGATGCTGCGCCCCTGGCGCGGTGGTATCACCACGTTCAACGAACGGATTCGATGCTGTAAGATGACGAGCCTCAGGTACAGCGGAGTGGGATGATATCCCGTCATCTCCATGGACACTGGTATCACTACCATAGTCCACATCCTCGTCGAAGTCGAGGTAAGATGAAAGAGTCCAAGACTCGTTGGGTGGCAATGCCATGGTGTTTCGTGTTGAGCAACCGCGAGGTTAAGCACACACACACACCGACCTCTTCGAGGAAAGAAGCCGATTGACGTTTGGTGGTAACGTCAGTCTGGTGGGGGTAGGATGTAACGGGGTTACACGTCGGCTGGTAGCCGACAATAGGTGTGGTGCACACAAGAGAGGGGGTTACCCTATAAAGTAATTTTAGAACACAGTGAGTGTATCAATTGTTGAAGACCGATGTCTGTCATTAATTGATTGCGAGATCTTTTAAGAGGTTATTTAGGGCAGGTTAAATACGTTGTTCTAAGGTGTTCTTTTAGGTTAATCAAAGAAATAAAAATTCAGTTCCCCATTTGATCAACATAAGACACGTGCCTTGCGAGGCGTCTTAATCGGAAGAGCTAGCAACGCCTGTAAAGGTAGCTACTCTTGAGCACTCTGTGCTGTAATTCTCTTGAATCGTTTGGTCCCCCTGGAACAGGGACCGTAAGCTCTCTGAGCTCGTTGACTCTCTGAGTCGGGTTCGTAGAATCAAAGTTGCTCGTAAGAGCGTTAAGTCTTCCTCTGACTTAAGGAGCTGTGTAGTTACGCTACAAAGGAAGTGTTAAACGAGACTGACTGGTTTCTCATCACGCCTGAGAAGCTGCCAAAATACGTTGGCGAACGTGCCTTCACATTGTGAGTGATGTTTTTACTACGGAGCTTGCACGTTGATGTCTTGACTACCCCATCTTGTGTTCAGGATTCTTTGTGGCCGCATCTTTGACCAACAGTTCCTGGGTGTTGCAATGGTATATGCTTGGACAGATATGGGCACCGCTCATGTCGTCTCAATTCGAGCGAGGTGGGGTCAGTGATGGAGGAGAGTACCAAGATTGCACACACATTTGCCTGCAGCAAGTTGCACACTTGTAGCCCTGACATAAAGTCATTGAGGCGAATGAAGTGCGTTTGCATGTCCCGGATGGAGCTACGCCTAAAGATGAAGCGGCATCTGACTGCGCCATGGTGACGGCATTGCTTTCTCCAGCCATGAACAAGCAAGCACGGCGAAAAGGCCGTGACGGTCGTCAACTTGACGGACGTGTTGGTGACTATGTCGAAGGAGGGTGGGGGCAAAGATCTCGCCATGGCGGGAGAGATGTCACTCGTGGGTAAGGTGTTACAACCATAGGCACAACAGAGATGTCCGCAGCTGCTAAGTGGTCTCGCGCGTTATTTGGTCGAGCTGCCGCTCGGATAGAGGCGCGACGTTGACGAGGAGAGTACGTACGAAAGGACGTTTCCCGTTGTAGCGGCTTTATGGCGTACTCCATTACCAGAAGTGATTCAAATACGTTTATCTTGTCAAGGCCTCAGGTTGAAAGTTGATCGGCAGAGACACGTGTGCAGTAAGTCCGGCTTTTGCCCATCGTTTTTGGTCCGACAGGCAGAGCCACAACTTGTCTCCCCATTCCCAAATTTTCACGGTTCAGCTTAAGCCAGTCTTTTTCCCTTCAGGGCAATCACGTCGGAGGGAATCCTCCCCTAGGGGAGCCGACGGGGCCGAAGATCTGACGCGGGCGCGCTGCACTCGCAGTCGCGGGTGTGGGCGTAGGGGGCCGACGGGTCGCGCAAGCGGCCTAGCAGGGGTGTTTAACGGACTGGAGGCGTACCCCGCGCCACGTGTCGCCGCTGCGGCGAGCGCAAACTCCACGTCCGGGGGCCGCGTAAGCGGCTGAAGGGGGCCACCATCGCAGATGGGTGAGCTCCTCGGAGAGAGATACAGCGGGTTGGCGTTCTCCACGCCTTGCAGTCACTTCGGAGATCGCACTCCACGTCGGGGGGCCGCGCAAGCGGCTGCAGGGGGCCACCATCGCAGATGGGTAAGCTCCTCGGAGAGAGATACGGCGGGTTGGCGTTCTCCACGCCTTGCAGTCACTTCGGAGATCGCACTCCACGTCGGGGGGCCGCGCAAGCGGCTGCAGGGGGCCACCATCGCAGATCGGTAAGCTCCTCGGAGAGAGATACGGCGGGTTGGCGTTCTCCACGCCTTGCAGTCACTTTGGTGATCGCACTCCACGTCGGGGGGCCGCGCAAGCGGCTGAAGGGGTTTGTTGCCTAATATGGCAGCATTCCCGCGTTATACGTGCTGCCGCTCCGGCGGTACGCATGTCCTCAGTCCACTTGGTCGCGCCAGCGGTCATGATTGGCTCGTACTTGGCTTCGGTAGGAGGGTCTCTGACCTCGTTGCCGTCGCCCCTGGTTCTGCGGAGCCCTTTAGTTGTCGACCCGATATCTGGGTCGTACTTCGTGTCACACCTTTCAGTCGTTAGTTATTATAATAATGGACGTACTTGACACCACCACCAAAACTTGTCTTCATGATTGCGGACAAATTTCGGCTGCCCAGCCGCTGTATGCGTACATATCGATGCGGACAACCACTGACGTGTCTCTCGTGACGCGCACTTCAGTGGGCAACGACTTGCTTACAATACGCACCTCGCCCGGTCGTCGTCTCTTCGCGTCATCAAAACAAGTACGTGGAAGACCAAATACATTTCTGTTTTGTGGCCTCGCGACAAATCGTGGAAGGGCCACGATCTATCTTGAGCTGGGTTGGGGCGTCAACACGGTCTAAGTTCAAGCTGGTCGCGTGCCTGCGATAGGACGCCTTCATAGCTACAGAGCGCCGCATAAGCTGAACTGCAGCTGGCTGCTCGAAGTCGTATATGCGAATCGTACGCACACACACAGAAGCGTCAGCTGTAGTGATCTCCACTTTACATGCATCAACGCGTCGAACCAGTAAAGCGCATTGCAAAATCGAAGTACCGTCGTCAGGCTTTGTGTCGAGCACATGCAAGCGCGAGTGGTCTGTCTGTAATAGTCTGTGCGGCGGACATGGACATCGATTGTCCCTCGCCCTCACTCTTGCGATTGGGTGTCGATACGAAAAATGAAGACACACAAATGAATGAGTTCGCTCCTTGTGGCTGGCTTTGGTGACCTTGAAAGCGCAAGACTGCGACGTTACTGTCGTCAATGTTGCTTCCGATTGTCAGCGCCGCCTTTGCTCACAAAACACAAAGCGATCATGTACGCGACATTAGAATCCAAATCCACAACTTTTTTGTCGCTCCTGCATGACACGGATGATCCGCATTTTGGGATCAGACATAAAAGCACTCGCTACGCGACAGGCAACTTACTCCAGCCAACGCATTACAAAAAATCGACCCAGCAACTATACCGATCAGGTGATGGGATACCAGGAGTGCGTCATGGGATAGGCGCCGGCATCGTGGTCGCGTCGATAACAGCCTGGTGTCGACGTACAAAAAGCCGGCAGCATGCGATTTTGTGCTGTGCGAACCAGTTGCTCTGGACGGATTTGTACAGTTTCACATGGCTGGGTTTTCGTCATTCCGATATTCACCAAGTCACTGCCACATCCAGATCAAACAACATCTAGCATGCGCCTCTGCTACTTCATCCTCCTGCCTGCTGTCGCTCGCGCCGTCATGACCACTAGTGTCTCGAATATGTCAAACCCAAACACACCTCTGGCTTACTTGACTGACATCGCCGAGCATCGCAATGACGTCCTGGTCAACGGCACGATAAAGGCCGGTGAAGTCGGCAATCGTGAAGAGAGGGTGTTGAATATCAGGCAATTTCTCGACATCGAGACGCTGGTCGGGTCCTTTGCACAGCAGAAAATGGCCGAAGATAAATTCGCAGCTGTCGAATGCTTGTTGATAGAGCTGACCGAAGTAAAAGTCGAGGGCTTACTTGACTGGTATCGAGTAGCGAATAAAGGAGCGACACCTGAAGAGGCATTGGGTAGTGCTCTAGCGGATACGTATGGGGATGACGTGATGGCCCAGGCGATCGTACGTGCAAGCATCAAGAAGAAGGCCAAGATAGGAGCCCCTTTGGAAGCAGTAAAAGACGCAATGATTGCATGCTGGAATGCAGAAGGGCGTACGACGAATGAGGTTCTTCAGTGGCTAGAGCGAGACAAGCCATCAAGCGACAAGGACCTCTTCGACTACGGGATCGCTAAACTCCTGACAGGGGCTGACACAGTGCACAAACACGTGGCAGAAGTTCTTTTGGATCATTTCGAGGGAGAATACGTTCGATTCTTCGTCGCTCTTGTGCGAGCAGAAAAGAAAGAAACCGCAGACGAGAGCGTTATGAAAGCCTGTTGGGACTGGCTGCGTTCGAAGCATCCAGATTATGCTGTCGAGCATGAAGCTTTTCGCACTTTGATGGATCCTAGCCCGGAGGGGAATAAATGGGCCGAAGCAGAGGATCACCTCTTTGGCTGGCCAACCAAAGACGAAAAAAAGGAGATCTACGAAGAGCTTACGAGCGGACCGGTGTCTGGCAATTAGGCAACGGGTCCGGACGTCAACGGTAGTGGTCCGGACATTGATGATAGTTGGACCTATATAATTGTCGTTTGTCAATATATCATATCTATACAACATACGAAACACTTCTTGTTGGCGTGGTGAAACCATCTCATTCGTTGATCTGTTTAGCTGACAGAGGCAAGTGCATCAGGTCAGTATATAAGTTGCAATCGATCACTCCCATCATCCACACACATCTACCCCGTTATAGTAGGTGATGTCGATGCTTACCAATCCGCCAGCATATGTCAGCTAACTAGGCAGCATTGACCCACTATGTAACGGGGCACGCTCTAACGAGATGACTGGTAAGACCTTTTGTTAATTGAACCCAGGGCTGGATACTCTCGACGTGACGCACATGTGACGTCAGGAAGCGGGAGGAAGTAAACAGAAATCGAAAGCTCTGTTTAAGGGGAAAAGTAGCATTGAACTTAATATAGTTATTTTCTTTACTAAACCATCTTCGTCTTAATATAAATATATTAAACTACAATCTCCTATGTGGGTTTCTTGTTCACCACCCATTGCGCGCGTCCACCAGCTATTGGTTATCAATTTTGCTGTAGTGCACGGTACACCAACCAGTAAGTGGAGCATTCAAGATTATTATTCTCGGGGGTAATATTCAGCTGCCATTACCTCTTCTCTGGTGATATTGATTACCTATTATCTATAAGAATGAATTATAAAAATTGGCACATAAGTTTCAAATTAATATAAGGGGATCACCTTAATAAACACTAGTATTACAAATATTTATCCATCATTCGTTTTTTGGCGCTTCAGATGATAACATCCCACCTCGTTACCCGTATCAGCCTGACAGGAAAAAGATACTTCCCAAAAGAAATAAATGAAGATATATGATATGCCTTTGCCGCTAGGAATCAATGGAATCGTTGGAAATATTGCCTGTAAGCTCCAATGGGGATGTAGATCTATAGGTAAACACCCAACCTTTTATTCGTACCCCCCCCTAAAATATAGACCCCTTCTTAAGTACCGGGGCTCCCTAATTAGGTACTGCACACCGTGACATACAAAATACCATATAAATAGGAGATTTATTGGTACACACCCACCTTTTGATACGTACACACCCACCTGAAATAGAGACCCCTCTTTAAGTACCGTAACCTTCCCAACTAGGCACCGCACACTTATGCATACAAAATGCAATATACATATTCTTTGCTTTGTACACACACCTCTGTAATACAGGCCTCTTTGTGGTATTACAGAGCCTTCCGTATGAAATCCGCCCCCATTATTCGGTACACCGCCGTATATCATTTTTTAACATCGTTCGATGTCATAAAAGAGCTTACATCATGACATTCTTCTTTGTTCGCAGACACCCATCATGTACGAAGTGGTACTCAATGAAGACCAACTGTCAACTGTCGTATTGACACTTAAGCACGCTTTAAGACCGCCTTTGTCATTCTGGGCACGAATTGAAATACTCAAGTAACACAGTCTTTTCTCCCTCGCATTTAATGATGGACCAAGTAAACGGCTTGCACAACGGCTGTAAATGGGATTTTATATGCGGTGTCTTAATCCAATGCTGCAGACTTTGCTTGTACTAAACTACGGTGCGAATACATTGCGGACAAGCGCATCAAAATACGTGCACAAGGGATCCTGTTTAGTGCAGCATAGCCAAGATGATGCCTTCAGTGCAGTGAGGTTAAAGCTGGTCGCCCTTTAGTTATCGAATAGCCGCTCAAATCCGATGGCTATGTTAGCATTCGTAGATAGATAAAACAGCAGTAGAAACCGTTGCTGCTCCTTGAAGGTGCAGCCATGGTGTAAGCAAGCAGCTATTAATGTAACGGGGCACACCCTTGCGTAACTTAACACAAGGGATTTGGGTGCCCCGACGGACGTACACGTGGCGAGCGAGGAAGCGTAGGTAGGGTAAAAGTAGAACTGTTATATTAATAAATTAAGTCTTTAAACTACTGTCTCTTCGTTTGACTTAATTCAATTATACTAATATAAATGCATGTATGGTGACGTCTCGTCACCACTCATTGCGCGCGTCTTGCGGCGATTGGTGGGTTGATATCATCACGATATCAACCAATGAACAGACCCTTTGGTCGACCCTTCAATATCACCACTTTGGTGATATTGTTTAAAGAATATCCATCTTATATTCTTTTATTGTCACTTTCCTTAAGTGACAATATCATGTAACGGGCTGCCCCGTTACATCACCCCCCCTTAACTGATAGTCACCGTGTGACTATCGAAATATGGAGGCCACCCGTTGGCCACCATTGGGACAGGGAGCACTTGTTTGGTCCGTTCCACTCACTTTCCGCTTGACCTCGCATAGTTAACATGTCTATGCGAGGTGACTCAGGCCCACACAGCCTGGTGCTGTGCAAGCCTCTGCGGCAGACGCTTCGTCGTCTGCTGCCCCTTCTTCGCCTGCAGCAACAGGTGCTGCAGGTGCACGCGGTATCACGCCGCGTGCGCACGATGACCCCGATGTGGAGGTCATCTACTCTGGCGAGTCAGACGTGTCTGACTCGGGCAATGCTCCAGAGGCGTCTCGCTCACCGGCGACGCCTCAGTATTCGCCAAGGCCACTGCCGAACGAACGGACTCGTGATTCGCATCACAGTCTGTTCGGCAGTGATGACGATGATCAGGGTGGTGAGGAGTATTACTCATTACCGCCGGCTCGTGCGTCTTCGCACGAGCGTGATGACGATGGCGCGAGCCGTCGTCAATCTGGGAGCCGTGGTACCGACAAGGGTACCACTGTGAAGCGTGATGAGTTGAAGCCGTGTCGTTTGCCCGAACAACTCATCAATAGCCTGTCTCACGAGACAGGCCAACACCATCGAATACCCTTATTCGATGCAACCGAGCTTCACGGCTTGAGTCCCAGCGCGAAGAACTTTCGCGCTGAAGAAGACTTTTATCTCGATGTCTTCCTTAGACATCGATGGTACAATAGCAACCAAAAGCGTGACAAAACATCGCTTTTGGCTGCGTGGAACGCTTTCGTCCAAAACGTAAAGAATTTTGGACGAGAAGGGTGGCTCAAGAAACTTGAGGCAACACGCCTCAGGTTCGAACGGCGAACGCCAACCGGTGCTAGGTACCGGTTGCATTGTTTATCGAGTGAGGCAGGCATTCCTTGCCTCACATGGGGAGACCCTTGTGCGAGTTGTGTTGACAACTCGCAGCGTGCACATAGGGATGTGTACTCCCTAAGTTCGCCATGGGGAAGGGCACATCTCTCGAGTGAGATGCGTGACGCGATTGCAAACTCGCAATCGGTCTACAAGCGCCTAGGGCGCGTGTTTACCGATGGGCCACAGGGTCAATCGGATGAGTCTCGTCATACTGGCGGACGAGACCTTCTACATCCATCAACAGCTGAGAGCGGGGCTCCCAGCTGTTCCAAGAGGGTGGATACCCCCGCCACTGGACGAGGTAGCTCGTCCTTGATCCTGAATCGTCACGGTGGTTCAAGATACGCTCCACTAGAAAGCGTTAATCACCGTGAGCATCCACCAAAGGATGTGGTGGAGGAGAAAAGACCTCCTCCAGATGATTCGGCTCATCTTCTCGACCCTTACGAGATGGATCGCGCAATCGATGAATTGCGCGATGACTTGAAGCACGAGCGCGACCGGCGCTACGCTTTGACTGATACCGTGCAAAAGAACCGCAAGGATCACGGGGCTGATCGGGCGAGGGATCGCGCCGATTATGCCACAGCGCAGCTTCAGGTCGAGCGGGATGTCCGCTCCCTATTCGGCGAGCTGGCGACAACTCGCGGGGAGATATCTTGGTTGAGTTCCGAGGTATCTTATCTGCGCGACCAGACGGATCGTCTGGAGCGCTAAAGCAAGAACTTGATGGATGTTCTTGAACGTGGGGGCTATCTTCATCGGAAGAAGAAGGCTCGTACTGACAGTACGGCCTGAGCCTCTTCACGTAAAACTTAGGATGCGTGCGCATCTTACGTGGCAATTCGATCGTGTATGCATTGCCTTTGCGGTGCAACACTCGAAATGGCCCAATGTATTTCGGCAGTAGTTTACTACTGCCGACACTAGTGACTGCATGTCCAGGTAGGTTTACCGTTGACAGTAGTACTAGGTCATTAACCTTAAATGAAAGAACATTTGCTCTTCCATTCTTGTCTGCGTTCCGTTTCTGACGGTCCACCGCATTTGCGATGGAGTCCTGAACGAAACGGACTACCGCTTCTCGAGTCAGCAGGAAGTTCTCTGCTGACTCTTTGTTTTGTCTAGCAGTGCGCTGCGTGCGCACTGCTAAGAGATTGCTCTCTTCTTCAGCGAGGTTGTCTTCTTCCTCGCTGGCATAATCGTTGACGATGCTGAATATACCAGCATCGTCATCATCATCCGAATCAATAATAGCGTCTTCGCTATTATTGAGATGATCTTCTTCATCGATGTCGACTTGATCGACATCGGCATCATACGTGACGACGTTTGCGTCGACACGTGATGAGCAAGAGCCAAAACGGTTTTTGCTCGAGCGAGTCCCTCCCCCCTTATCCAAGAGTCACACTCTAGAAGGGTGGGCACACGTGGATGGCGTAGGCCATTCACGTAAAACGGTGTGTGCTGTGTTGAAGCATGCACCGAATTATTGATGGCGAATTCCACCATGGGTAGGAATTCGCTCCAACTCGGAAACGAGTGGACATATCCTCGAAGAATCTCTTCGAGGACACGGTTCGCACGTTCCGTCTGACCATCTGTTTCTGGATGGTCAGAAGTGGACATCTTCAATCGTGTTCCGAGAGTACGGAACACGGTTTGCCAAAATTCCGCCGTGAACCGAGGGTCACGGTCGGATACGAGTTCACGGGGTAACCCGTGGAGTCTAAAGACCGTGTCTAGAAAGACACGAGCACAACCTTGAGCCTTGATTGACTTAGGGACAGCAGCAAGATGGGCCATCTTGCTGAATCG